ATAATAAGATATCTAGCCTCTAATTTTAAAACTTAGATATATCTCTTTAATAGATTCTTCTTAATATAATCTTTAAGTATATCGGACTTCTTTTATAATAGCTAATAGATAGGTATAAAAGTTAGTTTAGTATCTTCTATTATATTAATTTCGTGATTAAAAGGTCTATACTTAGGTAATACTCTATTAGCCGGTATTATAAAAATATCTATAAACTTCTAGTATTCCTCCGGAATCCTAGGTACGTCGCTAATTATATATAGCTTCTTATATTTAATTATTATATAGTCCTTTAATTCCTAGTTAGATATATCTAGTAATTATTCTATAGTATCTAGGGCGACGCCCGCGACTAATACTCTAGTCCTCTTACTTCGGGACTATTTACTACGCTCGTTTCGTTAGGTAGACTTCTATCGACGTATCTTATATTTATTATATTCTTATATATACTTATATCTATCGAAGGTAATTCGTCCCGATTACTAATTAATATTTGGATTATACTTCCTAAGCTATAGAATATCTAGAATAATATTATAGTCTCCCGTTTCTAAGATATTAAACTATATTAATTCTAGATATCTATAGATAGATATAGATAATATAATAGTCTCCTCGCTAACTCCTTTTAAGAGTACTTCTCTATCGAGTCCTACGACTAATATTATATATAGTAGGGGTTTAGTTATAACTTACCGATCTTCCTTAAACCTTAGGTTTATAAAGTTATTAGTAGCTCCTAAGTCGATAAAAGTCTATACTATTCCTATTAGTAGATTTATATATAGTTTGATATATATCCTAGATAGTATTACCGCTAGATATATTATTAGTCGATTCTTATAATCGTATATTTAGCGTCTATTATACTAAATTCCCTAGTATTCTTTCGTCTATTATAGCTTCTTTATCTACTATAGTAGTCTTAGTTCGATACTATAATCTAACTTTACTAACCTATAAATAGTATATATTTCGTCGTAGTATATAATACTAGCTATCTTACTATATCCTAGATATCGCGTATATCCTTTATATACGTAAGTAGAATTTTTATAAGGGTATCCTATTAGGTTATCGCCTTTCTTAATTATATTAATAAGGTACTAGTCTAGTCTATTAGGCTATATCTTTCTTTTAAGATATCCTATAAGCTTTTTAGCTTCTTTATTATCGTAATAGTTTATAGGGCTTTCTATTAGTATCTCTAGGATAGTTTAATTTATTCTAGGAAGTATATCTAATATTCCTAGATTACTATTAGCTTTAGGGATCGGGTTTTACGTCTCTACGGGCCCTATATTATTAGTTATAAGATACTTAGGATCTTAGGACTTCTCTATTCCTATAACTATAGTCTCTAGTCCTAGTAGGTCTTACGACCGCTAACTAAGGTCCTCCTTAGCCGTAAGTCCTACTAGGTCCTAGATTAGTACTTAGGGTACGTATTATATCTACCTTTAACTTTCTATTATATCCTAATCGATTTCTAGATAATCGAGTTCTAGCTCGTCGGCTAACCCTTTAATATATAGGTTACCCGCTATTATCTCTTCTAGGCTTAGGTTAGTCTATTTTATTAAGAGATCTTCTAAGAGTTCGTCTCTTAGGTCTATAGCGACTCGCCTTTTCTATTTAAGGCTATCGATAAGGGTCCCGACCTACCCTTTTAGGTCGCCCTATTATTTATTAGGGTATATTTCCTTCTAGTATTCCTAACTAGCGCTTATTCCTTCGGCGCTAGTATCTATACTAGTAGTAGCTTTTCCCTCTTAGATTATTTATAATACTTCGCGTATCGCTTATATATATTACTATTTCTTATATAGTTTCTTTATTTTATATTCTTTCGTATAGTATCCTAGTTTTCTATAAGTAAAGTAAAGATTCTTCTATTAACGCTCGTCTTATTCTTTATATATCGCGTTAAGGTCTATCGGTATTAGGCTATATAAGTCTATATATCTTACCGGTTAAGGCGTAGACTACCTAGGTCGCCTATTATTCTAGCGATACTAAATAGGTAGTCGTTATCCGCCTATCCTCTACTATCTTATTTCGCGACGTTATATCTCGCGATTATAGATTCGATTATCGATTTTAACTATAATACCGATAATTTTATCTAGTATATCTAGTCGATTATCGCGTACTAGTTTATCTTTAATATATTCTTTTAGTCCGTCTTTAAAGACTAAAACGAAGTAGTCTTTATCCTAGCTTAAGTATAAGATAATTTATTAAAATTTAGCGGTATATATACTAACTAAGATAGTCTATTATAGGCGTCGAAGGCGTTATTTAGCCGTTCGTTTCGCGTCGATATTATCGAACGTAAGTTTAATTCGTTCCTTAAACTTATCGTAGCTATTAAACACTTTCTAGGTAAAGTCGCTCTAGACTTCTTAGTCGGTTTCTTTTTAAAACTCTTATAGGAATAGTTCGAACTAATCGAAGGCTAGTCCTTAGAGGAAGGTCGATATATAAATAACCTTATTAGCTTCCGTAGGTAGCTTAGATCGGTTAACCCGTTAGTTTATATCTAGTTAAATAAGGAACGATCGAAGCTTAGATCGTATTCTATTAAAGAACTTAGATTATAGAATCTTAACTATAGAGACCGAACGTTAGTTCTCTAAGGTTAAGATTTACTCCTATAGTTACTAGATTATCTTAGCTATCTACTAAGGGCTAGGCGCGTTACTTCGCGTAGAAGTACTACTACCGGTAGTCGAGTCGTTAACTATATTATCTTATCGTAACTCGAAACTTAATTCGAGACGGTCTTTAATATATTACGTACTAGCTAACTAGTTATAGTTAGGTTAGATAGGTTTAGGGTATACTTACCTTAATACTCCTCGAATAGTCTAACGTTAATAATCGGATCTTAACTAAGCTAATACCGCGCGGGGCCTTATAGTAGCCTAAGTCCTTTTAAGCGATTAAGGAACTAATACTAGGTAGAGCGCCGAGTAGATCGATACTAGGGTATTAGTCTACTCGTAAGTATTATTAAGTTATAATCAAGTAAAGAGTCACAATAATCCAAAAGGTAAATATAAGTAACAATATATGATTGAAGACGAAGAACTAAACTAGATATATAAATAAGTGTCCTTATATATCCCTAAGTTCTTCCTATATAGAATAGTAGATAGTAGAATAGTAGAATCGCCTTAGCGGATTCTACTAATCTACTTACTACCCTTCTTGTGCTCCCGAGAGGTTTGTAGGGTTTGCTTGTTCTCGGTGCCTGAGGCAGCCACTTGCTAGATGCCTCAGGACACTACTTCTTAGCACTCGGCCAAAGTCATTAGTAGCGAGTACCTATTACTAAGGGGTTTTCTCTAGGCCAAGCCCTTACTTAGCGCTAATATAATACATTCTATATTTAGCTAGTAATTACTACTACCCAATAAAAACCATACGATCCTAATAGAATCTTATCTAGTAGTATGTCTTACTAAGGCCTTACCTCCTACGGTAAGCTAGGAGGAGGTAGTAGTATCCCCGTAGGAAGCTATACTTCCTCGCCGGTTCCTAGGACTAATAAGTATACCTAGGAAGCTAGGTAGTAGGTAAGGGCTTCGAATAAGCCCCTACTACGAGGAATTTTCGATCTAGGGACTATAAAGTAGAGTACGGTAGACCTCTTACTAAGCTAATACTAAAGACTTAGTAATAGAGGTATACTAAGAAAACTCTATAAAAGGTTAAGGATCCGTATCTTTAGAGGCGAAGTAGGGGCCCCTAAGAAGTAGAAGTAGTTAGGAAAAGAATAGGGTAAGTAGCTCCTAAAACTAAGTACTAACTTACCGAACCCCTAAATTAAAGCTACTTATTATAATAGAGAACTAACCCTTTAAAGAAGAGTAATAGTTCTAATAAGCGGAGATAACCCCGCCGACGGACTAGGCTATAACGCCTAGAATCTTTAGGGCTTACCTACTAACGAATATATAGAGGGCCTTCGACCGCTTACCGGAGCCGCTATAGAGGCTAGTAATCTTCTAATAAGTGACTAATAGCCCGGAAATAATAGCTATATAATACGAGGCTATCGTTATAATATCGATAATATTCGACCTAGGGCTAGCTTAGAACCTAAAGGCTATAGAGCTAAAAGTCGGCCCTTACCTAGCGGAGATCGCGGGCCGCCTAAAAGACTTAGGCTAACTAGCTAAGTACTAAAATAACTAGAAAGATAACGCTACTAACTACTAGCTATATAACGTTGATAACTACTTCCTACGCTACTAAATAATAAGCGGCCGAAGCGACGATAAAGCGTATAAATTAGCCTTTACCTCGGGCTTACTAGCCGGAGACGCCTATATAAAATAGAGAACGGCTAATTAGTAAGTAGATATAAGACTCGGCGAACGGATTACTATATAAGAAGGCTTTAAAGCCTAGATTCGGACTAAGTTCGAACTAAGAACGGTAGAGTTAGATCGCTTACGCGAGTATACGTATAAGTAATAAAGAAGCGACTCTTTATCTACGTACTACGCCGCCCTACTAGAACTCTCCTATAACTTACTAGAAAGCCCCTTAAAAAGAGGATATATCCTATAACTAGTATCGGGACTAAACCCGACCCTCTGTATAGAGTAGTTTAGATAGTAGGGCTAACCCGAGACTAACGTCGAAGAAGCGGTTAACCTCCTACTAGAGCTTAAACGAAGCGTATAGGAAGTAACCGCGTATAGCCGTCTAATACGTTATATTAGGAATAGGCGTACTACTCCGCTTCCTAACGCTATAGACCTATCGGCTATATAGGATACGAGGACTTATTATAAGTATAGTAAGCTAGGATATATTAAAAGAAACTATAAGGTTAAGGGAAAAGGATAGAGTTAGTAAGCTTAGGCGAGCCTACTAACCCGCTTACTAAGTTACGTCGCCCCGATAAGTAAGACGACGGGCTTAGCTAAAGCCGGAAAGAACGGGACCCCTAATAAGCTATAATAAGACTAAATACTCTTAGGGAAGACCTTAACTTCTTCGACGGCTCGCTCTATCGCCCCGCTATAGCTAGAAAACCTATCGCTTACCGTATACTACTAGATTATAGAGTAAGCTATATATTTATATTATTGAAAACCGCTCGCCGCCTAGATAGTAAATAGGATAAGCGTAGATCGTTACTAGTATTATTACTAAACGGCGAGATCCTATATATCTAGGGTACGATAGAACTAGTAATTTGTCTAGATAAATAGACCGGTATAAAAGTAATATAGGTAGTTAATATAAAAGGGTACGATATAGTACTCGGTAACGACTTCCTATACGAGTATAACCCCTACGTTAGCTTCCCTATAAAAAGGATATAGCTTACTAACTATAATAGAGATTACGAAGTATAGATAGCGGATAGCTATATACTTAGTAAGGAAGAGAAAGGGACGTTAAACTTACTATTAAAGAGGGAGGTCCGCCGGTCCCTAAAAGATAAGAATATTAAGTACGTAGTCTTTTATATTACGATAAGCGAGGACTATAAACTAATAACTAACGACCCTCGCTTAGCTAAGCTACTTAGGAAGTTCGCCGATATCTTTCCTAACGACTTATCGAAGGAGTTACCCCCCGAACGTAACTTCGTCTACTATATTAATACCGGTACCGCCGACCTAATAAATATAAATACTTATCCCCTATCCTATAAGAAGCTCGAGGAGCTTAAGAAATAAGTAAAGGACTTACTAGATAGGAGATTAATCTAGGTATTAGCTAGTCCCTAGGGATTCCCGGTAGTATTCGTTAAGAAGCCTAAAGGAGCGTAGAGAATATATATCGACTATTACGCCTTTAATAAACTTACTACTAAGAATAGATACCCTATCCTAAGGATTTAGGACTTACTAGATATCGTCGGCTAGGCTAAGTACTTATCGAAGATCGACTTAGCGGCCGGATATTAGTAAATAAGGATAGCTAAGGAAGTAATACCGAAGATAGCCTTTAATACTATTTAGGGGAAGTATAAATAGAGGGCGATACTATTTAGGCTTTATAATACGCTAGCTACCTTCTAGATATTAATAAACGAGATACTCTGTCCTTACTTAGGTAAGTCGGTCGTAGTATACTTAGACGATATACTAGTATACTTAAAGATACTTATAGAGTACTATACCTACTTAAAGGAAGTACTATAGTACTTATATAAGTAGAAGCTTTATACTAAACCGAAGAAATACGTATTTATTACTAAGGAGTTAGAATTCTATAGCTATATTATTAGGGATAGTAAGGTTTAAGCCGTTACGATAAAGCTAGATATTATTAAAGAGTAGCCCTAGCTAATAAATATTAATAAAGTTCGCCGTTTCCTAGGCTTAGCTACCTACTACCGACGCTTTATTAAGGACTTCGCGAAAATAGCGGTAGTCTTATATAACTTAACTAAGGAAGCCGATAAAGAACTATATAAGTAAAAGTTCTAGCCGATTACTTAGACCGAGTAATATAAAGTAGCTTTTATACGCCTAAAAGAGGTACTTATTAGCGCTCTAGTACTTATTTAACCTAACCGGGCTAAGCCTTTTATAATAAAAACCGATACCTCCGAATAGGCAATTAGCTTTATACTCTACTAAGTAGGTAACGATAGGAAGATATACCTAGTCGCCTTCGACGGCTATAAGCTAAAAGGCGCGGAGTTAAACTATCTAATATATAAAAAAAAGCTCCTTATAATTAAGGAAGCCCTCCGTACTTAGGATAGGTATCTAGAGAATAGAATAAGGACTATAATTATTACGGACTATAAGGGTCTTTAATACCTAGTAATTATAAGAGCGTATAGTAAGCGACTTACTCGCTAGATTAATAAGTTCTAGGTATATAACCTCGAGCTATAGTATCGGAAAGAAGAGAAAGTAGTTATTCTTAACGTTATTAGCTAACGCCCTAACTTTCTTAAAGAGGGACTAGCTAATATAGCCTAAGAAGTACCTACTTAAAGAAAACTAAATATAATAATAAAAGTAGGTAGGTTCGAAGAAGCGGAATAGTATACCGCTACTATTTAATATATATCGACTAGTAGCTTACCGGATAATAAGTCGCTTCGCCGAGAAGTTATATATTAGGCTAGTAAGCTCGCGATATATAAATCGCCCTTACCGATAGCCGTAATATAGGAAGAGAATATAAAGCTTATCTACCTATATAGGGACGGATCCTCCGCCCTATATCTAGAATCGCTTTTTAGAAAGGACTTCCTAAAGCGGATATATAAGGAATATAGATACTTAGGCTACCTAGGCCTACGCGGAATACTCTATACCTACGCTTAGTAGCCTAGAATACGGTAGGATACCGAGGAAGTAATACGCCTTTATCCGAATTACTAAGTATCGAAATCGAGAAATAAGAGTTTCGAGCGAGAAGCGTCCTAGTACTTAGCGAGCGTAGGTATTAAGCCTTTTAAACGATAGGGGATTAATCTTATCGGCTTACTACCTATAACGCTAAGTAGTAACCGATAGATTATTATAGCGATCGATTACGCTATTAGCTAGCTACTTATAAAAGCCTTACCGGAGGCTATAGAGGAAGCTATCGCCGAATTTCTCTATAACGATATCTTTACGGTATATAGCGTACCTACGGAATTCTTAACGGATAATAGCGCTAACTTACTTACGGCCTTAATATAGTACTTTATTAAGCTAGTAAATACGAAATACCGGATAACGACGCTATACTACCTACGAACGAATAGAAAGGTAGAAAATCTTAACGGCTTACTAAGACGGATACTTACTAAGTATTATATAGGTAAGCCTACTAGAGTATAGGATCTTTACTTAGCCTAAGCCCTATTCGCTATAAGGGTTAGGGAATATATAACGTTAGGTAAGAGTCCCTTTTATTTAGTATATAGGACGTATCTATACTTACTAGGGGATACCGAGCTAGTAACCTCGTTCTAGGACCTAGCGGAGCTAGATAGTAAGATCCTCGCTATTAATTATATAAGAGCCGAGGCTAATAAGAAATTGTTATATAAGGCTATCTAGGCCTAGAAAATCTAAGATAAGAAAGTAACTACTTACTTACTATAGCTAGGTAAGTAGGTACTAGTTCGGAATAAGGTAAAATAGAAGTTCGAATTATAGTAGTTTAGGCTATATAAGATCCTAAAAGCCTACCTACTTAGTATATATATACTTACTAAGCCTAGTAGCCGGGTACTAAGGAACTTAGTAAACGGCCGCCGCCTTATCGACGCCTTTATCGATAACCCTAACTAGCTATAGACGTCGTTAGGCGGTAAGTATCGGCTTCGATAGAAAGGTATAGATATTCGGTATCCGCTTAATAGTAGAGAGATAGTTAATATAGACTCCGACGAACCGCCTAGTTACTATAAATTAGCTACTATTTCTTAAGCCGAGTAGGATATAATAGAGCGTTTAGGGGTACGCTTACGCTTAGTAGGGAGGGAGGAAGTACTTAGAAATATCGTAGCGAAAGCGAGGAAGTAACTACTACCTACTAAAAGGATAAAAAGAACGGTACTTACGCCGGAAGTAGAGGATATAATATACGCGCCGGATAAAACGTTACTATAAGCGGCTAGGGTCCCTACTTAGTAAGTAAGGGAGACCCGAAGGAAAGGTCTAGAAAGTATAGTCCCTACCTAAGGAGAGGTAGAGGAAGTCTAATAAGTAGACTAGATAACTACTTAGGGAGAGGTAGAGGAGTCTTAGCGAATAAACCGGATATCTACCTAAGGAGAGGTAGAGGAGTCCTAATAAGAGGACTAGATATCTACTTAGATAGGGGTAGAAGAGTCCTAGTAAGTAGACTAGATACCTACCTAGGAAGAGGTAGAAGAGGTTCTATAAGAGAACCTAGTTAATAATAATACCCTTAAAAAGGATAGCTAAGGAGATTAGTATATAGAGGACATTCCGACGCTATAATAAGTATCTCTATACCTTTTCTATAGGCTACGTCGCTATACGATAGATTCGTAATAAGAAGGATTCCGCTACTATAGTAAGAAAGCGAGTAAGCGAAGACTTACGAAATACTACGAAGAGATAATCTATAAGGGACTACGAGGAAGTTATTAATAGAACTATAGTCTTTATATTCGGTAAGTATAATTTAAAAGCTTTAATAAGTACTTAGTAACCTAGATATTATTAATATAATTAGCCTAAATAGAATCTACTTCTCTACTAACTATAGCTCGCTCTATTACTTCCTAACCCCGAAGTAACTCTAAACTACGTAAATCCCGATATATAAGACTAATATTAACCTATATCTAAGCTATCTCCTCCGTTAAACGACGTTCTATCCGTAACCTAATATCTAGGGAGGCCTTAAAAAGTCTACGGGTAAGTATACTACGCTACTTAGGGGTAATAGGGGTACCTTCCTCGGATACTTCCTCGCTTGATTTAATATAGGGGGAAGGGGATATATCGGCGGCGGAGGGGGAGATACGGGGGCGTTTATAAGATAGGCGGGTAGAAACCGAACTAAGGAAGCGGGAAGTAGTAGAGCGAGGGGGAGTAGAGGGGGTTAGGGGCTAGGTTAGGGGCTAGGTAGGGGACTTATTAGTGGGAGTGACCGCCGAGAACTAGAACTCGGGGGAGTGCATACGAAGTACGTCCAGAGCCTAGGTAGGGGCATCAACGCGTAAGGAGTAAGCGCGAGCCATACCTACGAAGTGGCAATATATATAGGAACCTAGGCTGACTATAGTACTCTTAACTAGACTGCGACATCGCCCGTCTATAGGCACCTAGGAGGTGCCTATCGCCCGTCTACGGTAGGCGGTGGGCTATTTGGATTTTCGAGTGCCTGTCTATAACGCCTAAGGCCTACGGGTATACCTATCCCGGGTATACCTACTATGCCTACTATTGTATAAAGTTATCTAAAATAGATATATAACTCGCTAACTTTATATAATAAATAACCGTTATTTATACCTATTTTGCTAACTCTATATAAAATCGCGGTTTTAATCTATAATATCTATAAATTTTACTAAAATATCTAAGTATATAAGAAACTAATATATATATAATACGACTTAGAATAAATTTTTGATCGAAATATATTATATTATATAGTATTTTTATTAACTTATTAAATTATACTATAATAGTTTAAAGATATATATTTAAGTTAGTAGTATATATCTACTATTTTCTATAAGTAAAATACTACTTATAGATTCTACTTTATCTCTCGCTCTAGTATATTTCTTATAGGTAGATTAAAAGTAAATTAGTATAATTCCTATTTTATAAGCTTATATTACTAAATTATATCAATTATATTACTAAAAGACTTATATTATTATTCTAGGAGTTTTAAATCCTTTAATTATAACTTAAGATAGGCGTTTAGGTATATATCTATAGGTATACCTATAGGTATACCTATAGATAAAGACACTTATAGCTAATTAGCTTATAATAGATAGTAGGTCTATACTTAATTTACGATCTATTAGATCTATATAAAACACCCCTTTTACTAGTAACCCCTATTTTATACGGTTATAAGTTACCTATTATAAGTTTAGATTACTTACTCTCCCTTTATTATTAAATTATCCCTTATATCGTATTAACTATATCCTAACCTAGTGTTACGCACTAGCTAACTGGTCACAGTTAGGTTAGATGGGTTCAGGGTATACTTGCCTTAATACTCCTCGAATAGTCTAACGTTAATGATCGGGTCTCAACTGAGCTAATGCCGCGCGGGGCCTTACTATAGCCTAAGTCCTTTTAAGCGATTAAGGAACTAATGCTAGGTAGAGCGCCGAGTAGATCTATACCGGAGTATTAGTCTACTCGTAAGTGTTATTAAGTTATAATCAAGTAAAGAGTTATAGTAATCTAAAAGGTAAACATAAGTAATAATATATGATTGAAGACGAAGAACTAAACTAAGTATATAAGGGAGTGTCCTTATATATCCTTCGTTTCCTACTCCCTAATATACTCCTAGAGTATATTCGGGAGTTACTATATACTTCTACGTATACTCCTAGAGTCGACGTAGGAGTTATAGTTACGTAGTCTAGGCGGTTACGGTACTCGGTATTATTATAAGGTAGAATTGCTATTTGCCCTATAAGGGCCGGTAATAGCTACCTTTTAGTAAAACCCTTTTCTACCGGGTATATTATATGTAACCCCGATCGGTTAGCTCTTAATAGCCTATTAGTATACCTATAGGTTACTACTAATTAGTAACGGATAGGTCCGTAATATCACCTCCCCTCTTCTTAGGAGTTTCGTCCCCGAGACCTATAAAGCTACGGTCCCCTCCCTCTAGTAAATAATACCGTTTATTTTCTTTTTATTTTTCTTTTCCTTAGCTATATACCCGTTATATTATACTAATTAATAACAAAACCTATAAAAAGAATAGACTTACTTAATATAATAAAATATTATAAAACGGTTCGGTCGCTAATATCTCTTATAAATTCTATTCTTCTCGCTTTATTAATTATATAATAGACCCGAAGAGTCGTAATTATACTAAATATACTCGTCGCGGTCGTTATTATATACGATAGTTCTATAGCGATAAAGAATAGTAGCGCGTTCTTCGTAAGTCTACGAAAATTAATATAGAGATTAAAGAGATCGAGAAGTAGTAAATAAAGTTAATAGTAAAAATACTTCGTCTTAAGAAGTAACGTTAAATATTTAAAAATCGGAGTAGTAAGATATTAAATTATAACTCCTTCGTAATAGAGTAGTTAGATACTAAGGATCCTCCTAGTACTAAGGACCTCGCTAAGCTAGATCGTCTCGCCGATAAGTATAATACTTAGGTTCTTACCGCTACGTTAGAGAATCCTACTCTAACTTAGATATTTAGTCTCTTATCCCCTTCTATCCTAGAGGGGATAGACTTATCTTTCCTTATTAGCGATTCTTCCGTACCTTCTATTATATAGGAGTCCTTTTCGCCTATTAGTAATACTACTAAACGAGCTAGTAGTAGCCCCTTAGGTTCTAGATAGGTTCCTATATATTTTCTAAGGTAGGATACCCTTTCTACTATACTAAGAGTTATTACTAACTATTATACTATCTATCCGATAGGATTCGTTCGACTTTATATTTATCTTCGGTTTCCTCGATTTCTATATTAGTTATAATTTCGGCGTTATCTAGTACTAGTTCGAGTAATAAGATATAAAATACTATATAGAGTTTTTGTATACTTTCGGGTAGCTTTAAGCGATAATTCACTAGTCCTAATTTTTCCTTAATCTTAAACGGTCCTAGTCGTAGGTAGTCTAATTTATTACTAGGTCGCTTAGTTTTGATATTACGTCGTAATAGGTAAACCTTTTCTCCCTCCTTAAGGTTAGGTCCCTCTCTATAGTAGTCGTCGTAATATTTCTTTATACGTAGATTGATAAAGTCAATATCTCTAGCTAGTTACGTATATAACTTTCTTAGTATTATGCAGATCTAGTAGAACTACTAAATTGAGTATTATAGTGTACTGGAAAATGTCATGTTGCGTTAGGAAAGGAAGAGAACTAGCTACTGTGAGACTAATTGTACTGGGAGCAAGCAAGTAAGGTCACGTGACCTCTAACACCCCCCACGACTAGTACTATAGTCGTCAACCTAGTTCTAAACTACCAATCCTTCAAAAAACCAGTTTGTAACTATCAATAACCCCCATTTCTTATATGTAAACCAGAAATCATACAGTTTTATAGAGCACTAGGCCCATCTACATAATCCATCTCCGGAACATGATCTTTCTAAGGGGTTTAGTCAATCCATCTACCGCCATCTCAGCGGTAGGAACTTTGACAAATCTCACTATACCAGCTGCCACCTCTTCTCTTAGGCGATAGTATCTAATGGCAATGTGCTTAGTATTGACGTGAAACTCGGGATTAGATGCCAATGCAATAGCACCATTATTGTCAGCATAGATACAAATGGGCTTCTATAGAAACCCTAGGATGCTGATTTCTATAAGCAGCTATATAAGCCAGATTGCTTCCTAGGTTGCAAGTGCTTCTACAATATATTCGGATTCAGTAATAGACAATGCAACGCAAGATTGCTTCTTTAACGTCCACGAGATTACTCCACCGGCCATCTTGAAAATGAAGCCAGATATAGAGAGACCTTTTTCACTATAAGGGCCAGCCCAGTCTACATCGCAGTATCCAATCAATAGGTTATTATTTAGATAATAGGAGATCGTGAGATGCTTAGTGCCAGCAAGGTAACGAAAGACTCGTTTTAATGCCTGGAAATGCAACTCACTTAGGTTCTTGGCATATCTCGCCAGCTTAATAACGACAAATGAGATATCGGGCCTAGTCGAGACCATCAACCAGATCAGTATGCCGATCTTGGTTTAGAATTCTTTAATCTCTGCTTTTAAAGCAGTGCCTTCTAACGTAAGACGTTCAATCAAGGGTTGTTTCTCGTCCATCGGTATCGCCACTAGCTTACAGTTCTCGAGTCCAAAGCGAGCAAGGATCTTATCGACGTAGTCGAATTGAGAAAGGTAAATAACACTATTGTCATTCTCGCTATCGTCGTTCTTACCATAGTAGACATTAATCGAGAGATATCGTTCAAGGACACCTTTGTCAGATATATCAAAGTGCTTAGAGATAGCAGTTTTAAATACTTCTATCTCTTATTCACAAGGTAACAAAACAAGCAGATCATCAACGTAGATCAAGACATACAATAAGGTCTTGCCATATCGGATAAAGATAGAGTGATCTGATTAAGTACGTAAAAATCCCATAGAGATCAGCACGTCGTGAAGCAGCTTATACCACTCTCTTAGACTCTGTTTTAGCCCATAGATTATCTTCATTAGAAGGCCAATATCATCAGGATATTGATCCCGTAGGCCCTCTAGAAGCTCAATTTCAATTAGCTCTTTCAACTCAGCGTATAAGAACGCTATCATGATATCGACATGATAAATTGGCCATCCTTTAGCAGCTACAATAGCTATGAAAATTTTAAATAACATAGGCTTAGCCACCACAGCATACACCTCGTAGAAATCTAGATCTTTAATCTATCGAAATCCACGTGCCACGAGTCTTACTTTATAGGTTCCGTCATACTTGACTTTAAATACCCAACGTAATAAGAGCGGTCGACGTTTAGTATTAGACTTAGATATTCGTGGGATTCGACGCCATATACCGTTCTTTAGTTGTCGAGCAAGCTCTTTATACGTAGCAGCTAGCCATTTGTCTTTCTCGACACAGGCCATTGCTTCCTTCCAGCCATTAGGTTCAAAACCTATATCATTGGCTGACAATTTGGAAGGTACATATTGATCTATAAATTTTGAAGTCACTACAGAGAATAGATTGAGTAATATCTCTAGGGACTCGGCTAAGAACTATAGGACGTTGCTATCGAAGAAAGATCGACTCGCTAAGCTGTCAATATAGGCTTGGCTAGGTTTCTTAGCCCTTATCGATCTACGTAGTCCTTAGTCTAATAAATGCTTAATAGAGGTCAAGGGGACATAATTAGCATCTAGTAACTCATCTAGAATTGGGTCTAGGTAGGAGAAATCAATAGTTGTCTCCTAAGGGGTTGTCTCCTAGGGTAAATCCTTATTAACAACCTGCCGGGAAGCTAGTTATAGCCCCACGAGAGCCCCTAGTCCACCTAAACCTAAGTAGACACTATGATCCTCCCATTGTGCCTCCATATACCTACCAAGACTACCCGCTATTTCAACATCGTCATCGAGAAGAGGATAATCGAAGGTATCGGGATCAGGAAGAGGCTCTGTTTCTAGAACTCGGTATTCCAGAATTAACGGGTTTGATAGATCGAGAGGTAGATTAGCTAGAGCTAGTACTACGTCATCTAGATCATCTTCAACTATAGGAAAGGGAGGGGATAGAGAACGAGACATATCCCTTTCCCTATATAAGTAATCAAGGTATTGACGCATCTCTCGATAGTCATTTGTATCATATAGGAAATCAATTGGGATATATCGATCAGACGGAGACTATATGTCTTGTCGATCTTGATCTTGATTCATCGAGTCTAAATCTAGATCGTAAGCTAGATCTAGTAGAATTACTAGAGAGGGGTTCTCATTGAAAATGACATTACAAGAACGCTCGATCTTTTTAGTACGCACATTATATAGTACGTAGTTATCACCTTCGTCATAAGCAATTAACCTAGCTTCCTCTATATAAGGATCTAGCTTAGTAGAGCGCTTCTCTTTTAGAATTAAGAACTAGCATTAACAACCGAGGGCTCTAAGGTTAGAGAGATCTAGTTTCTTCCCATATAGTGCTTCGTAGGGAGATTTGTCAATTCGTAAGGCGTACAAGCGGTTCATAGTATAATTGATTCTACCAAGAAGATATCCCTATAGGTATTTCGGAAGTTAGTACTCCGTCATGACTATAACAAGAGGTTCAACAAGGTATCGATTCTTAATCTCAGCCACTCCATTAAGCTGCTTAGTATAGGGTAGGGTTAGATCCTAAATTGTACCTCTGGAAGCAAGGTATACAGCTAGTGGTTTGTGCTCTAAAGCATCATCACCGTATACTCTCTTGATGGTATACCCAAACTAGGTCTTCAAGTAAGTCTCTAGCTGGATATAGACCTCAGTGACCTAAGATCTCGACTTTAAAAGGAACACCCATATGAACCGTGAGGCATCGTCAGTAAATATAATGAAGTATCGCTCTCCACCATATGATACAATTGAAATTGGACCCCATACATCAAGATGGATGAGGTCTCCAGGCTTAGATCTAATCGATCTCTCCTTGCCAAAAGGTAGAGCATGACCCTTGCCTTTAATACATAGTACACATGGAAAGGTAACGCCGGCACCCTTCTTCAATTTGACACCATCAGCATAAATCTCCATCTTTCGAACTCGGTTTTCACCGGCATAACATACTCGCCGGTATACTAAATCGATTGAGATCGCCGGGGGGTTATACCCCTACTTTATAGAGAACACTAAGTTTAGAGATCTAGAGAGAAGCATAGTAAGCTTAGCATTATCTAGCATAGTATCTACCTTATTGACACCAAGGCAGTTTAGCCAGTAGTGCTCTCCTTCATAGGTTACAAAGCCAACAATTGATTCCTATAGGTGCTAATCCTATAGTTTAAACGTTATAAGACCGTTCTAGACCCATATCCCAATATCCTCCTTGTCGAGGGCTAACATAGAGATCAAGCTGGCTTTGAGATCTAGAGCAAGCCATACCTTATATAGGGTAAGCGAGCCAATAAGATCTAATGTATCTTAGTTTCCCATCCGGAGGATAACGTCACCGTAACCCTCTGTATAGAAAACGTCACCTATCGCTATCGATATAGGCAAGACACATTCACGGAAATTGATAAAGACGGATTTATAAAGGGTCATATAGGTACTAGTCCCGGAATCGACCATCCATCTAGAGATATCATTATCAGTGGCACTAAGAGCCTCTATAGACACGGTATAAACTCCATATTCCTAGAACAATACATTAGAGAACAGATTGTTGTACTTGGCAATTGGGTCTCTAGATAGAGGCCCTTGCTAAAGGGTAGCAAGGTAGGAACCTAGAGCAAAGATAGTATTAGCCCCATATCGAGGCTACTGCTGATTCTGGTTCTGCATAGGGATAATACGTCCCTGGTTGTCAACCTAACCTATGATCTGGCCTGGTTGAGGGACTATCACCTACTAGGAAGGTTGCTGAATAACTACATTAGAAGAGTAGTTATTACCGCTTTTTAGTGAACAGTTTCTTAAGTAGTGATTACCCAAGGCATTATAGAACTTGCAAAAGATCACATTCTCCTCACGCTCGAAGGGCTGCTTCTTTTAATACTTCTTATCCTTAGTATTATGTTACGCACTAGCTAACTGGTCACAGTTAGGTTAGATGGGTTCAGGGTATACTTGCCTTAATACTCCTCGAATGGTCCAACGTCAATGATCGGGTCTCAACTGAGCTAATGCCGCGTAGGGCCTTATAGTAGCCTAAGTCCTTTTGAGCGATCAAGGAACTGATGCCAGGTAGAGCGCCGAGTAGATCTATACCGGGGTATTGGTCTGCTCGTGAGTGTTGTCAAGTTATAATCAAGTAAAGAGTTATAGTAATCCAAAAGGTAAACATAAGTAACAATGTATGATTGAAGACGAAGAACTAAACTAGATATATAAATAAGTGCCCTTATATATCTCTAAGTTCTTCCTATATAGAATGGTAGATAGTAGAATAGTAGAATCGCCTTAGCGGATTCTACTAATCTACTTACTACCCTTCTACTACCTATATAATCACGTGATACTAAGTAGCGGTTGTCTAGTACGTAGAGCAACCTATATATCGGAAATCCTCTGCGGGGTAGATCCGTTTAGGGCGGATTATACTCTTACTTAGTGAGCTTATACGTGATCTACTGATAGATCTTGCTAGTTAGCTCTCGATAGCCTATTGGTACGCCTAGTGGATCGCTACTGATTAGTGACGGATAGGTCCGTAATATCACCTCCCCTCTTCCTAGGAGTTTCGTCCCCGAGACTTATAAAGCTACGGTATCCCCCCTTAGGTAGGTAATAGATTTCTTTTCCTTAAAATAATACTTCCTCGTTATACCTAAACGAAAGGCTGACTCTATTTCTTTACTTACTCCTAAACTTCCCTCCGGTTCTTCTAATACTTATTATCGTTAGGCGACTTATATTAAAGATAATAGTTTTACTACCTCTATTTCTTACGATTATTATAAATTAGTAGGTATTGCTTATCTAATAGACCGTTCTCGTTAATATTCGAAATATGCCTCGTATACTCGCGCGGGTCGCTTATATAAGCGTAACTTTTATACTAGTCGGGAATAGGATTTATTGCGTCGTACCGAAACTAAACTTTCTTCGGATCTTAAAACGAACGAAAGTAAACTCGATTTGTTAGAACCCGAGTTAAGCGAACTATAAGCTTATCTCGTAGAGCTATATCAAAAATTGTTAAATAAACAAAAACAATACTAGGAAGTAATATCTAGGCAACGTCGGTTACGTAAACAAATATCCTTCCTAAAATAAAAGGGTTTTAAAATATTAGAATATAATACTAAACTCCTTCAAATTCTCGATAAAAAGCAAATATCCCTAAAGTAGGCTTCCCCTTCTACTCTCGACCTCGAGTAGCTTACTACTACTACCGATTATCCGAATTTTGATTAGATATTAGCGGAGATTGCTAATCTCCCTATTTCTTTTTAGGATAAATCCGGTTTTGTGCCCTCCTCGCTTCCTATTACGTAGGGGTCCTTTTCGCCTATTAGTAATACTATTAAACAAGCTAGTAATAGCCCCTTAGGTTCTAGATAGGTTCCTATATATTTTCTAAGGTAGGATACCCTTTCTACTAAACTAAGAGTTATTACTAACTATTATACTATCTATCCGATAGGATTCGTTCGACTTTATATTCGTCTTCGGTTTCCTCGATTTCTACGTTAGTTACAATTTTGGCGTTGTCTAGTGCTAGTTCGAGTAACGAGATATAAAACACTATATAGAGTTTTTGTATACTTTCGGGTAGCTTTAAGCGATAATTTACTAGTCCTAATTTTTCCTTAATTTTAAACGGTCCTAGTCGTAGGTAGTCTAATTTGTTGCTAGGTCGCTTGGTTTTAATATTACGTTATAATAGGTAAACCTTTTCTCCCTCCTTAAGGTCAGGTCCCTCTCTATAGTAGTCGTCGTAATATTTCTTTATACGTAGGTTAACAAAGTCAATATCTCTAGCTAGTTATATATATAACTTTCTCAGTCCGCTAGCCTTTAGTCTCGCTGATTCTACTACGGTTATCTTATTAATTAGTTCTCTAAATACCATTAGGTTATATCTATAATTCGTAAAGAATAGTGTTTCGTTGGTCGTAGAGTACGCTGCATTGTTATATGCTAGCTGTACTATTAGTAGTAGTCCTACCTAGTTGTCTTACTAGTAGTTCACGTAGTATCGTAGGTACTATTTCACTATTTGGTTCACTCTTTCCGTTTAACCGTTAGTTTATAGGTAGTATACGGTAGAGAGTCTAAGCTTAATACCTATCTAGTCTATAAAAGACTTCTATATATTCGATATAAATAACTTGTCTCTGTCCGATATGATCTTGCTCGGTATCCTATAGTTCGTAACTATATATCGAAGTATAATATTCGCTATTTAATTAGTATCGATAGTTTCTATAGTCGGAATTATATAGGCGTACTTAGTGAGCCTATCGACTATAACTATAATCATATCGTATCTATCTAAGATTAGTAACTTTATAATAAAGTCTATCGTGATCTATTCTTACAGTTAGGTCGGCGTCTTAGATAACTATAATTCTCCGTAAGGTACGTATCGTATAGGTTTGTTTCGTTAGTACGTATCGTAAACGCGGATATAGAATCGAACCTTCCGCTATATATTTAGAAAATAGTAATTTCGCGTAATATATTCGATGGTTTTTTCTACTCCTATATATCTATATAAGATATTATTATAGTATCGACGTATAACCTCTTCTCTTAGCTTACTTAGGATATATATCAATCTATATATATAGAGTAATCCTTAGTCGTCCTTAGTAAGTTTTCTACCTTTCTCGACGAGTTGATTGATTATATCTTCCTCTAATACGTCTTTGATTTTCTATAAGAAGTCGTTATCCTTAACTTCTATCGTTACGGCTAGTAACTATTTGTTATATAAGATAGTACTATTAGAGTTTTGTCTTAATATAGCGGGGTCTACCGCTTTAGTTCCTAATTCGTAGTCTAGTCGTCTACTTAAAGCGTCGGCTTATCCGTTCTCTATCCCTTTATAGTATTCGATTTTAAAATCGTATTGTATAAGGGTTTTAGCCTATCGCGCTTATTATCTTATTAACTTCTTCGTCGTAGTGAAGAATATAAGATTCTTATAATCGGTCTTAACCGTTACCGTATACTTTGCTCCCTCTAGATATACTCTTTAGACTTAGAACGCTAATACTATAGCTAATAGTTCTTTATTATATATATCGTAGTTGAGTTCTACTAGAACTATTTTCCTTGACTAAAATGTAACTAGTCGGTACTTGCCGTTAGTTCCCGGTTACGTTAGTCTTACTCCTAGAGCGTAGTCTAATATATCGGTTTCTATAATAATTAGTCGGTCGTAGCTAAATATAGCCACGATTATTCCTTTATTAAAGAGTTCCTTAAGGTCCTAGAACGATTTGTCTACTATCTTATCCTATATAAATTTCTGATCTTTCTTAGTAAGATAGTAGAGTCCTAATATAACTCCGGCGTATCTATCGATAATCTTCCGATAATAATTAGCTAGACTAAGAAATTATTATACTTCCTTTATATTTTTAAGTATCGGCTATTCTATAATACTTTTGACCTTATCTTCTTCTATCCCTAGTCCTTTAGGGGTAATATAGTATCCGAGGAAAGTCGTTTCCTAAACGTAGAATTCGTATTTCTTTAGTTTAAGAGTGACTTCTGCTTCTCTTAGCTTTTATAATATAAGTCTATTATATTTGATATGATCTTCGAGTATCTCTAAGAAGACTAAGATATCGTCTAGATATACGATAACGAAGATATCTAAATATTCCTTAATCGCTTTAAAGATAAAGCGTTAGAATATCGCTAGTATATTAGTAAGGCCGAAAGGTATAACCTTATATTCGTAGTGTCCGAACTTAGTTCTAAATACCGTTTTCTATTTATAGCCTAGCTTAATCCTGATACGGTGATAGGTATTAGTAATATTATACTTCGAAAAGTACTTGGTATATCTAATCCTATCTTATATTTCGTTGATTAAAGGTAGTAGGTGTCGATCTTTAATAGTAATCGAATTTAAATATCGGTAATCTATATAAAGTCGAAGACTCCCGTCCTTCTTTAGTACGAAGAGGATAGGATATCTAGCCGCTAACTTCGAGACTCGGATATATCCTTTTCGTAGGTTCTCCTAGATATATTCCTTAAGTATATCGGACTCCTTCTATAACAACTAATAGATAGGTATAAAAGTTAGTTTAGTGCCTTCTATAGTATTAATCTCGTGATTAAAGGATCTATATTTCGGTAATACTCTATCGGCCGGTACCGTAAAAATATCCGTAAACTCCTAGTATTCCTCCGGAATCCTAGGTTTATCGCTAGTTACGTATAGCTTTTTATATTTGATTATTATATAGTCCTTTAACTCTTAGTCGGATATATCTAGTGATTGTTCTATAGTATCTAGGGCGATACCTATAACTAATACTCTAGTCCTCTTACTTTAGGACTATTTGCTACGCTCGTTTCGTTAGGTAGACTTCTATTAACGTATCTCGTATTTGTCGTATATCTCTATATACGTATATCTATCGAATAAGATATATCCCGACTACTAATTAATACTTAGGTTGTGCTTCTTAAGCTATAGAATGCCTAAAACAATATCGTAGTCTCCCGTCTCTAAGATATTAAACCGTATTAATTCTAGGTACCTATAGATAGATATAGGTAATATAATAGTTTCCTCGCTAACTCCTCCTAAGAGTACTTCTCTGTCGAGTCCTACGACTAGTATTACGTATGGTAGGGGTTCGGTCGCAACTTATCGATCTTCCTTAAACCTTAGGTTTATAAAATTGTTAGTAGCTCCCGAATCGATAAGAGTCTATGCCTTCCCTATAGGTAGGATCGTATATAATTTAATATATATTCCTAACGTTATTACCGCTAGATATATTGTTAGTCGATCCTCGTGATCGTATATCTAGCGTCTGTTATACTAAATTCCCTAGTATTCTTTCGTCTATTATAGCTTCTTTATCTACCGTAGTAGTTTCGGTTCGATGCCGTAATCTAACTTTACTAACCTATAGATAGTATACGTTTCGTCGTAGTATATAACGCTAGCTATCTTACTATATCCTAGGTATCGCGTATATCCTTTATACGCGTAAGTGGAATTTTCGTAAGGGCATCCTACTAGGTCGTCGCCTTCCTTAATTACGTTAATAAGGTGCTAGTCTAGTCTACTAGGCTATATCTTTCCTTCGAGATATCCTATAAGCTCTTTAGCTTCTTTATTATCGTAATAGTTCGTAGGGCTTTCTATTAGTATTTCTAGGATAGTTTGATTTATTCTAGGAAGCGCGTCTAGCGTTCCTAGATTACTATTAGCTCCGGGGATCGGGTTCTATATCTCTACGGGTCCTATATCGCTCGTCTTAAGACGATTGTGGTCCTAGGACTTCTCTATTCCCGTAACCGTGGTCTCTAGACCTAGTGGGTCTTGCGACCGCCGACCGAGGTCCTCCCTAGCCTTAAGTCCTACTAGGTCCTAGATTAGTGCCTAGGGTACGTGCTATATCCACCCTTAACTTTCTACCGTATCCTAATCGATTTCTAGATAATCGAGTTCTAGCTTATCGGCTAACCCTTTAATATATAGGTTGCCCGCCGTTATCTCTTCCGGGTCGAGGCCTTAGTACCTACCTATAAGATCTTCTAAGAGCTCGTCTCTTAGGTCTATAGCGACTTGCCTTTTCTATCTAAGGCTATCGATAAGGGTCCCGACCTACCCTCTTAGGTCGCCCTATTACTCGTTAGGGTATATTTCCTCCTAGTATTCCTAACTAGCGCTTATTCCTTCGGCGCTAGTACCTATACTAGTAGTGGCTTTTCCCTCTTAGGTCGCTCGTAGTGCTTCGCGTATCGCTTGTATATATTGCCGTTTCTTATACGGTTTCTTCTATTTATATTCCTTCGCGCGGTGTCCTGGTTTCCTATAGGTAAAGTAAAGATTCTTATTACGACGCTCTTTTTGCTTATTATAAGTAGCGTCTAACTCTATTAGCTTCGGGCTATATAGATCGTTGTCCTATAGTGTCGCTCTGTCGCGGCGTCTACCGAATCGGTTAAAGCTATATATCTTTCTACGCTTCTATAATTCTATTTCGTATCGTTCCCTTCTTCGCTCGCTATTACGGTTATCGATCTTAACCGTAATCTTAATAAGTTAGTCGAGCTCCTCTAGCTAATCTATTCGCGCGAGTTCGTCCTTAACGTCGGATTTTATTCCGGCTTCGAAGTAAGGAAGGTATGCTCTATCTAGCTAATCTAAGTAAGAGATGATTTATAAGAACTTAGAGGTATAGCTTGATATAGTTCCGGTTTGTCGGATTCGTTATAACTTTTTCTAGGCTATTCTCGTAGCGTCGATATCTCCGAACGTATTTTCGAGGTATCGACGGAAATTGCGATACTCGCTAAAGATATTTATCGTAGTATCCGACTATTCTTTAGGTTTTTTCCTATAATAGTCACGGATATAAGGTTCGAACCAATCCTATACCTAACCGCGTAAATAGGTTAATATAAAAATCACCTTACCGGCTTCGTTAGGTATCTTAGCGCTATTTATATCGAGGTATATATCTATCTAAGTGAGGAATCCTCGAAGTTTAATTCGGTTTCCCTTAAAGAACTTAGCCTTAGGTAGTTATGGTGCCTAGATAGTACTAATAGGTATAGAGGCGTTGACTTGGGCCTTAATCTACTCGAGGTAATCGTCGACCTCGCTAAACTTACTACCGCTTCTTTTACCTAAGTAACTAAGCTAGTCTATAACCTTCTTTAGGTTATGCTTAAGTTTATTGATCTTTCGCTTCTATTCTGTAATAGTGTTGTCTCTTTCGACGTTAGAGTCGGGATCCTCTATGGGTAGAGTAACTTGTTCCCGAACGGGTTTCTTCCCGGTACTAACGTAAGATATATTGCTTGTCGTGACTCGAAACTTGATTCGAGACGGTCTTTAATGTGTTACGTACTAGCTAACTAGTCATAGTTAGGTTAGATAGGTTCAGGGTATACTTGCCTTAATACTCCTCGAATGGTCTAACGTCAATAATCGGGTCTTAACTGAGCTAATACCGCGTAGGGCCTTATAGTAGCCTAAGTCCTTTTGAGCGATCAAGGAACTAATGCCAGGTAGAGCGCCGAGTAGATCTATACCGGGGTATTAGTCTGCTCGTGAGTGTTGTCAAGTTATAATCAAGTAAAGAGTCACAGTAATCCAAAAGGTAAACATAAGTAACAATATATGATTGAAGACGAAGAACTAAACTAGATATATAAATGAGTGCCCTTATATATCTCTGAGTTCTTCCTATGTAGAATAGTAGATAGTAGAATAGTAGAATCGCCTTGGCGGATTCTACTGATCTACTTACTACCCTTCTACTACCTACATAATCACGTGATACTGAGCAGCGGTTGTCTAGTACGTAGAGCAACCTATGTATCGGAAATCCTCTGCGGGGTGGATCCGTTCAGGGCGGATCATGCTCTTGCTCAGTGAGCTTGTACGTGATCTGCTGACAGATCTTGCTGGTTGGCTCTCGATGGCCCATTGGTGCGCCTAGTGGATCGCCACTGATTGGTGACGGATAGGTCCGTAACATATTAGAGGACGAATCGTTAGAATCTTTATTCCTAGACTAGCTTTTAGACTTATCGTTAGATACTTTCTTATCATCTTTAGGCTTATCCTTGTTAGTTAACGTGGTCGAATTAGCTGCGTAGGCTAGTATATTAAACTAGCGGTTGTAGGTCTCTGTCTTAATAAACTCAATATACACCTTATCCATCATACTAGGGTCCTTCTCATTAACCCTAAGGTTCTATAGGAAGGCGGCATATCGGGTATTCTCAAAGATAGACCTCTTAAAGTGATATAGTTCAAGCATTAGGGTAGGAGCTCCAGAGGTTGCTATAACCTCACGAAGGCCCTCCTAGAACTTCCGTACGAAGTCGGAGGCAGTCCCATTTTTATAACGTAGTTCAACCCATTTTGCAAAGCAAGTGTATGACTATTAATAGGATGAACCGGCATACGTCTTCCGTAGTCGTTTATAAACCTTACGGGCATCGGTAACCTAGGCCACAATAGAGATAGGTTCAATTCCAAGTGTCTTCCGAAGGCTGATAAGAGTTCTAGTATTGTAGGATTCCCAGTTATTACACTAGGTCTCATAATTCTTCCGAAGGCTTACGTTGATCTTCTCAATCTCTATAGTCCGAGAACGAATTTAAGACTTATAGATCATAATGTCGACCGGAGCCGAGTCTACTGGGGTAGGAATAGATTGAGCTTCTTCAAGAAGTTCAGCCTAAACTCCTCCTAATAAGGAGTCAAGAAAGGAGGGAGGTGATAGGAGTGGAATCCTATGAGTAAGCATTCGAGCGTAATAGCGGTTGTTAGCAGTCAGTACTAGAAATAGCGCTATCTCCCAATCTCTAAAATTGGACTATCCCTTTAGCTTTAGGACCGCGTCTCCGAGGTCCATTTCTAACCGGTTGATCTCAAAGTCGTCGATATTGTAGGGTATATTAGATGCCATAATGACGTTCTTCCGTACCGGGGTACTTGTCAATGGCTAAGGGGGATTGAACGGCTATCAGAGAAACGGCGGTCGACGGGATCGAACGGCCTAGATAAGACAACGGTCAATTGAAATACATACACTACCGGAGTAGATATAGCTAGTGGATCTTGGTAGATACACTATAGGGTGGGGTAGTCAAGGTCTCTTAACCAGTGAAATCTCTGTACGAGGTTCCACAGTGGGGTCGGTACGACGCTAGTACCGAGGATAGGAGGAATGATGTGGGCGTGAAGCATACGGTTAGGTAGAGGCTTCGACGGCACGGTGCTTATAACCTATTATACAGATCTAGTAGAACTACTAAATTGAGTATTGTAGTGTACTGGAAAATGTCATGTTGCGTTAGGAAAGGAAGAGAACTAGCTACTGTGAGACTAATTGTACTAGGAGCAAGCAAGTGAGGTCACGTGACCTCTAACACTTAGTCTACTAGCCTTTAGCCTCGCTGATTCTACTATAGCTATCTTATTAATTAGTTCTCTAAATACTATTAGGTTATATCTATAATTCGTAAAGAATAGTATTTCGTTAGTCGTAGAGTACGCTATATTATTATATACTAGCTATACTATTAGTAGTAGTCCTACCTAGTTATCTTACTAGTAGTTTACGTAGTATCGTAGGTACTATTTTACTATCTAATTCACTCTTTCTATCTAACTATTAGTCTACGGGTGGTATATAATAGAGAGTCTAAGCTTAATACCTATCTAGTCTATAAAAGACTTCTATATATTCGATATAAATAGTTTGTCTCTATCCGATATAATCTTACTCGGTATTCTATAGTTTACGACTATATATCGAAGTATAATATTCGCTATTTAATTAGTATCGATAGTTTCTATAGTCGGAATTATATAGGCGTACTTAGTAAGCCTATCGACTATAACTATAATTATATCGTATCCGTCTAAGATTAGTAACTTTATAATAAAGTCTATCGTAATCTATTCCTATAGTTAGGTTAATATCTTAAATAACTATAATTCTCTATAAGGTACGTATCGTATAGGTTTATTTCTTTAGTACATATCGTAAACGTAGATATAGAATCGAATCTTTCGCTATATATTTAGAAAATAATAATTTCGCGTAATATATTCGATAGTTTTTTCTACTCTTATATATCTATATAAGATATTATTATAGTATCGACGTATAACCTCTTCTCTTAGCTTATCTAGAATATATATTAATCTATATATATAGAGTAATCCTTAGTTGTCCTTAATAAGTTTTCTACCCTTTTTAACGAGTTAATTAATTATATCTTCCTCTAATATATCTTTAATTTTCTATAAGAAGTCGTTATCCTTAACTTCTATCGTCGCGGCTAGTAACTACTTATTATACGAAATAGTACTATTAGAGTTTTATCTTAATATAGTAGGATCCGCTATCTTAGTTCCTAATTTGTAGTCTAATCGTCTACTTAAAACGTCGGCTTATCTATTCTCTATCTCTTTATAGTATTCGATTCTAAAATTATATTATATAAGGGTTTCGGCCTATCGCGCTTATCGTCTCGTTAACTTCTTCGTCGTAGTAAAGAACGTAAGATTCTTATAATCGGTTTTAACCGTTACTATATACTTTACTCCTTCTAGATATACTCTCTAGACTTAGAACGCTAATACTATAGCTAATAGTTCTTTATCGTATATATTATAGTTAAGTTCTACTAGAACTATCTTTCTCGACTAAAATATAACTAGTCGGTATTTACTATTAGTTCCCGGTTATATTAGTCTTACTCCTAAAGCGTAGTCTAATATATCGGTTTCTATAATAATTAGTCGGTTATAGCTAAACGTAGCTATAATTATTCCTTTATTAAAGAGTTTCTTAAGGTCTTAGAACGATTTATCTACTACCTTATCCTATATAAATTTCTAATCTTTTTTAGTAAGATAGTAGAGTCCTAATATGACTCCGGCGTATCTATCGATAATCTTTCGGTAATAATTAGCTAGACTAAGAAATTATTATACTTCTTTTATATTTTTAGATATCGGCTATTCTATAATACTTTTAACCTTATCTTCTTCTATCCTTAGTTCTTTAAGGGTAATATAGTATCCGAGGAAAGTCGTTTCCTAAACGTAGAACTCGTATTTCTTTAGTTTAAGAGTAACTTCTACTTCTCTTAGTTTTTATAATATAAGTCTATTATATTTAATATAATCTTCGAGTATTTCTAAGAAGACTAAAATATTATCTAGATATACGATAACGAAGATATCTAAATATTCCTTAATAGCTTTAAAGATAAAGCGTTAGAATATTACTAGTATATTAGTAAGGCCGAAAGATATAACCTTATATTTATAATATCCGAACTTAGTTCTAAATACCGTTTTCTATTTATAGCCTAGCTTAATCCTAATACGATAATAAGTATTAGTAATATTATACTTCGAAAAGTACTTAGTATATCTAATCCTATCTTATATCTCGTTAATTAATAGTAGCGGGTATCGATCTTTAATAGTAATCGAATTTAGATATCGGTAATCTATATAAAGTCGAAGACTCCCGTCCTTCTTTAGTATAAAGATAATAGGGTATCTAGCCTCTAACTTCGAGACTTAGATATATCTCTTTAATAGATTTTCCTTAATATAATCCTTAAGTATATCGGACTCCTTTTATAATAGCTAATAAATAGGTATAAAAGTTAGTTTAGTACCTTCTATCGTATTAATCTTATAATTAAAAGGTCTATATTTCGGTAATACTCTATTAGCTAATACTATAAAAATATCCGTAAACTCCTAGTATTCCCTCGGAATCCTAGGTATATCGCTAATTATATATAGCTTTTTATATTTAATTATTATATAGTCCTTTAACTTCTAGTCGGATATATCTAGTAATTATTCTATAGTATCTAGGGCGACGCCTATAACTAATACTTTAGTCCTCTTACTTCGGGACTACTTACTACGCTCGTTTCTTTAGGTAGACTTCTATCGATATATCTTATATTCGTTATATATTTCTATATATATATATTTATTAAATAAGATATATCCCGACTACTAATTAATACTTAGGTTATACTTCTTAAGCTATAGAATATCTAAAATAATATCATAGTCTCCTGTTTCTAAGATATTAAATTATATTAATTCTAGGTACCCGTAGATAGATATAGATAATATAATAGTTTCCTCGCTAATTCCTCCCGAAAGTACTTCTCTATTAAGTCTTACGACTAGTATTATATATAGTAGGGGCTTAGTCGTAACTTATCGATCTTCCTTAAACCTTAGGTTTATAAAGTTATTAGTAGCTCCCGAATCGATAAGAGTCTATACCTTCCCTATAAGTAGGATTATATATAACTTAATATATATTCCTAACGTTATTACTACTAGATATATTATTAGTCGACCTTTATAATTATATATCTAGCGCCTATTATACTAAATTCCTTAGTATCCTTTCGTCTATTATAGCTTCTTTATCTACTATAGTAGTTTTAGTTCGATACTATAATCTAACTTTACTAACTTATAAATAGTATACGTTTCGTTATAGTATATAATACTAGCTATCTTACTATATCCTAGGTATCGCGTATATCCTTTATACGTATAAGTAGAATTTTTATAAGGGTATCCTACTAGATCGTCGCCTTCTTTAATTACGTTAATAAGGTACTAGTCTAGTCTACTAGGTTATATCTTTTCTTCGAGATATCCTATAAGCTCTTTAGCTTCTTTATTATCGTAATAGTTCGTAGGGCTTTCTATTAGTATTTCTAGGATAGTTTGATTTATTCTAGGAAGCGTATCTAGCGTTCCTAGATTACTAGTAGCTCTAGGGATCGGGTTCTATATCTCTAGGGGCCCTATATCGTTCGTCTTAAGACGATTAGGGTCCTAGGACTTCTCTATTCCTATAACTATAGTCTCCTATCTTAGTAGGTCTTACGACTACCGACCGAGGTCCTCTCTAGCCTTAAGTCCTACTAGGTCCTAGATTAGTACCTAGGGTATATACTATAT